TCACGAAGTGCAGAGAGGCATAGCATCTTGTTCGTCATTTCGGCTGCGTTTTCACGCTCTCGAGTTCTCCTCGACCTTGATATTGTGTATGGAGTGTTGTCTCTATCGATTTCGTTGTCCCTTCAAATGCGCCTTCTATGGCTTCTAAGCGTGTTTGCTATTGGCAGTGATAGAACTTCGTTCTTCGTCAATAATTGTTCCGTTCCTCTTCACCTAATTATTTTCCGCGCGATGCATTTCTTTGTGTGTTGCAAATGTGGACACCAAACGTGTATGAGAAGTAAATGCAAATGTTGAAGAAATCTTCGGTGCATTTTTTTGTAGAAATCCCAGTGAAATTTAGGCTTTGTTTTCAGTGTACACATCATTTTTTTCTTAAATGGGTTGCAACTCTTATACAAGAAATTTGATACATAAAAGCTTTCAAACGCACTCAGTGAAAGTATAAGACACGCATAAAAAATAAAACTAATAAACTAAAACGGTAAGACATAAGAACAAGAAAGTTATTACACAATTCTTGGTACAAAAACGAGAAAAACACAAATATCACTGTAAAAGTATTAAAAAGGTAGTAGTACATGTAATAGCTTTTTAACCATACATGTATTTAGTCGGTTAAATTGAAAATATGGAGTTTGGTCTTGAAAGCTGAAAGTGGGACGCCAAAATCTACTTTCATTTCAAATTTATTCCCTACTCCCAGGAGTCTGCACCTGTGGAAGTTTTCATTATGTTTCGGTGAAAAATAGGAGATCGCAAGGATAGTAAAGGAATATTGAATGTAATTTTGTTAGATTGCTCTCATCAGTACTATTGATAACTTAACAAAGAAATATCAGTTATAATCATTCTGCCCTGTAAGTATTCAATTTCAATTTCTGAAACAAAGGGCCATATTCATGTTCGTTAAATGATAACGGTTCATTTCATTTAGGGGATATGGTACACCAGAAATCTATGCTGCACTGACTTGACAGTAACTGTCTTTTAGAAGATAAGGTGACCAAATTGGGAAGGACTATTCCCAAATGGGCCGAACTAGTGTTTAATAGAAATATACAAGTGGAGAAATTTTGGAAACGCGCGCAAGTCCTGGTAATATTATTTTTCCTAAGTCATAAGTAAAAAATTATTAGAGAGTATTAGTAAGAGTAATATTGTGTGCAATCCATGGGACAAGTCCTTGACTACACGCTATTCCGATCTCTTCCTTCCACGGAAGGCTTGCCTACATAGGGCTACTTACTCCATACGTATGATCTATTATCGCATAAAATCCAAAATTCGATGCCGTAGTGAGCAGATTTTCTTGCTGTATATTGTCTAAAGGAGTATCTTTCCCTTATGCCTTACCAGCGTTGGGATACCCATACCCATGTGTAGGGTTTAGGACATCGCAAGAGTTGGACTAGCCCTTGTGATGCAGCTGAACTCGTTTTGTAGGAACAAATTTCACACGAGATTGTCCGGGAATCGAACCCGGACCTCGTTGATGAAAGGCGAGCGACTTTCGCTCTGAGCCACGAGACAATTTCATTGCGGAAATCGTTAGGGAATTCAATATTCCGATGTCTACAGTGTGACGTGAATACCAAATTTCAAGCATAACCTTTTACCTCAGTATTTGGTTTTTAATGGGCTATCGCAGCAGAAGTGACTTTACTAACCGCACGTCATCGCCTGCAGAGCCTCTCCTAGCCTCGTGACCATATATGCTGGGTCCTAGAAGACTGGAAAACCGGGGTGAACAAGGTGACTTGGTCAGATGAGTCCCGATTTCAGTGGGTAAGAGCTTATGTTGGGGTTAGTGTGGCTCAGACCCCACGAAGCCATGGACCCAAGTTGTCAACGTGGCATTGTGCAAGCTGGTGGTGGCATAATGGGGCGGGCTGTTTTTACTCGGAATGCACTAGGTCCTCTGATCCAACTAAACCGATCATTGACTGAAAATGATTTATGTTCAGGTACTTGAAAACCATTGGAGCAATTCACGTTCCCAAATAACGTTTCTTATGTGGACGAACACTTTTGCCGGACCACATTGCTTTGTATTAATGTTTACTACCAAAAATTTTTAACTTTTAACTGGAATATAATATTTAATAACATTTTGTACATTTGTAATAAACTGTTTCTTCCATTCTACAACGATATTTGCTTTTTAACGAGGGTTTCTCGGAGCAGGGCTAAGCAAATACTTCTGTGAACTACTGAAAAGACGATAAATTGCTTTAGATATTCCCGTCCATTCTCTCAATATTATCAACGCACTCTTTTGGTGGCGTTTTCGTTCATTGCTGGAATCCACAATCCTGATAAAGCATTGGAGGAAATCTCTACTTTATCCCAAAGAGTACTCATCTGTTATCTGTGACGCTTACACATTGCGACTGTATCTTCATTATCAGATTATGTTGCCCGTATCAAGGACCTCGAGCAATTCAAGGGAAAATTTCTCTACTTACAAGAAAGGAATAATATTATCTTGGTTATTTTGTCTAAAAGGAAGACCTATATACAAGCTGCCGTAGAACATGAATGTGCGTTTCAACGAATCCCGTTTCACGTACGTTTCACGGAGCGATGGATCAATGAAACAACGTTACGCATCAATTTTTGCCTTATAATTGGGAAGTCCGCCAACGGAACGTTTCGATTGACACAGCAAATCACAATTTTCTTCGATAGCACAAGTCATTCAAAAAAGGCAGAGAGGATGTCGCCGACGAACTCGGGAATTGGCGTCCATCAACCTCCCTAAAGGACGAAAATGAGACGTGTGTACGTGATTATTTAATGTCTGACTAACGGCTGAAACTCCTATTGAAAGCGGGAACTATAAATATGAGGAAAACAATATTTTTTTTCTCATTGTAACCGCTGTCTATTCAAGGACAAAACTACGCTATCCAAGGGCAAAATATGATTTAAAAAATTCGAAAATTTTTTATTTATTTTATAATATTTTTAAAATGTCCCGGGTGCTTCGTGTAAAGTACCCCAAAAGTGAAACATCGGTTTCAATTTGGAAGGGCCGTGACAATCAGTATGGTCGATTCGAGAATATCAATTTCTGTTAAAATCCTTCTTACGGTTTAGGCGCTAGCGTTCACGGACAGAGGGCGTTTTGTTCAATCGATTTTTAGGCGTCAAGGACCCACAAAATTGATTCTGACTGCACAGCGTATTAGAAGTAACCTACTATATAAAATACTGATTTTCTTCCTCGAATTAACCCCCGCCCTCTTTGTTTGAAGATTTCATACTCATACTACTACTATAATCATAACCAGTAACTAATTGTATTAATGTTATGATGTTTGGGTCATAAAGAAATGCCTAACAATATTACGAATGTTAAACAATAAGTTAATTTTGTAGTTGTGTTTGTATTTGAGTGATGTTTCCGGAAACGTCAACTGTTACCAACATCAGTCTCATAGTGTAGTGAATGTTTTATCTCAGGAGGAGGCGGTGGCCCCCCCTCCCCCTTGGATAGCTAGAGTCGGTGCCGATCCATTATCCGAATAATATTTCGGTCTACTTGACAGATGGGAGTAGTGTAGAGTGATGCCAATTACGTAGGCGACAGATCGTGTGTCAATCTTCGATCAGATCTCAACGATAGCAAGAAACAAATCAATGAGAGCTCACAACAGACGACAGAACCGCGCACTCACTGCTTAAACAAAGAAGTAAATCTTCGATTTTCAGTTTCTGCACTGTGTAATTATAGTGTGTGTGTATTTACACACGCACACACCCAGTGAAACCGCTTTATGCTGGCCACTCAAATTTGCACCTAAAAGTGGTCATGAAGGCATTTCTCTTACTAAGTTTGCAGTCTGGTCATGGATGTAAATACTACATAAACCACACTGCATATACTATGTATTTATTCGTTTATTAAATAAAAACTATGCAAATAATATGCAATTTATTGGCTTGGATAAAAAAGGCTTGAGGCTTGGATAAAAAAGAGTTGCTTTTTATATCTATCACTTCCATTCAACTTCCATTATTCCGTTTGTCTTGCACTTGGCATCAGTTGCAGCATAGAGAAAAGACCTCTTTTCATTACAGTAGGTCTGCCAGTCTTGTAGTGTCAGGCGTATTGGTATATTTTTTATTGTCTGTAATGGTTTTACTCGTTTGAATGAAGCAATTAATTATACATATCAAAGTGGTTTTAAGAAAAGGAGAGGAGAAAGAAAAGATAACAAGCATGTAAACATTCAGTCTTTCGGGACGGTTGATGTAACTTGCTGCTACAACTTCTAGTATCACAACAATGACAAAAGTAATGATACTTTAAGTTATAAGAATTAACACATACACAAATACTAAAATTCTGAGAAAAGAAATAACAACCTTCTTTGACCAAATTGTGTTAAATTCAAACTTGTATAGCTTTTATTAATGAATTGAATTTGCTTGAAATATTGGGAGTGTATGAAGTATTGGCCAAATCATGATATTGATAACCAAAATGATCCTGATGGTATAATCATTTTGTATTGAATCACAAAGTTGAATTTATGATTTACTGGGCCATATAGATAATTCTCTCCCACATCACAAAGCACAAAAACAACAAAATGTAAATTTGAATTCAAAACATTGTTTATGCTTTGAAAGTACTTTATGCCAATGAAATAACAGCTGGAGTCCAGCTGGTAGAAATATTAATGTAACGTATATGTAGTACTGTCTTCTTGACAGGTCATTTGTTGTGGTCTTGACTTTGTAATTATTTTATTGATGTTTTACATATTTACATTTTTTCTTTTACCAAGACACTTCTTGTCATGAGTACTTCATTTTGTTCAATTAAATTCATAGCTTGATTCAGATACAATTAAAAGTACATTTCTTTAATTATTGTGTATTGGAAATTGTCAGTTTGTTATAAAGTTACAATTAAAATTTTTGAAGTATTAAGCAAGTGTGCTTTTTTTGTTGTCTAATGTCATTGTTTTTTTTCTTTACAATTTCAGGAGCCAATGAAGTCAAAAGCTCCACAACTACATTTGGAATACAGGTTTTACAAACTTTTAGGATCTCATGGTAAGTTAAAGATTATCTCAGCAAATTTGTTATTAATACAAAAATTCTATGTACTCTTTAATTTGAGTGGCTTTGAAAAGCAAGGGTCCAAAAGTATTTCTGTTTTTCGGTAATAAATTTTGTGTATTTTTCTTTAATCAGTACATTTAAGCATAATTGTTTTAATCTATTCAAAATAGCAGGGATTGTTGAGAACAATGTGTAGCAT